GATTCTGTCTCCTTCCTGTATTCTTTCTCTCCAGTTTCTCTTCCTCTATTGTTTTTAAGAATGCAAGTGATCTTTCTTTCCTTATACATATGTCTCTTGCCTTCTCTCTTTTTTTGTCCCATTTCCCACCACCACCACCACCACCCACCCCCTCACACACATTCCTCTTCTAATTCCTCTTTTAATTTATCCCATCAGTCTTATCACTCACTCAACTTCCTCCTCTTCCCTTTGGTACAGGTCTTATCTTCTCCTTCAACAATACACTTCCATAAATGTTTGCCTGATATTTGCTAGTTCAAAAAGCATGTCCTTTGCCTCAGAAAAGGGTGCTGCTAAATCGGGTTAAATTCCCAAATTTTAGGGACAGATTGTTTAACAATGAAACCTCACGAAGTCAAAGTAAGCATCTACATCAAGTTTAACATTGTTATTATTATGAGATTCATTCATGGGTAGATTATATACAGCATCTCTCTATAGCTACACCCAGGCAACACACAACATATGGGTTAATAAAAAGATTCAAAATACTGTAGACCACAGGCGACAAAAGAATATCATGCTACAAAAATCAGCTTTAATGAGCTCAATATAGTCTTTAATCCAAATAGTTCTTATAAATCCTCCCCCTTGTCTCAGTTCTGGGTGGTTGTCAGAGCTAAATAAGGTAGTAATGGGACTGGATACATTCAGATATCTCAAAATTGTTACTGGATCAAATCTGCCAAGCATCTAGGGCCGCCAACTTGGTAAAGAGGCAAAAAGGTTAAACTTTTTTTTCTTATGGAATAACTAATGGGGTGTTCTGTGGTCTCTCCACTTACTTGATATCCCCCACTAAGATGGGCATGAACAGCAGTTTGGCAGTTCGGCCCAGTTTGACACAGCACCCGCTCAGGTATTCCACGGCACCTCACACTCCCCTCTCCTGCCTCCTCTGCTGCACACACACCCATTCCCTGGCCAAAGCACTTTCCTTCCCCACCTCCTCAGCGTGATTGTGCACTCGCCGATCACAGCATGTGCTTCTCTCCTCTGCCTCCTCCCACTCATTCAGGACCAAAATCCTGGTTTCTCAGGACCAAAATCTCGCCAAAACCTTGCTGTGTTATAATGGTGGAAGGGAAATGACAGCAAATTGCACCTGATTAACAAGTCCCTGATTATACTCCTCACTGCATGCCAGCTAGGTGGCCTGGTGTACGATGAGAAATCCAAGCAGGGAGTCATTCATCGATGTCAATTTGCCCCTGTGAGTGATGTCATTTCCCTTCCACCAGTTTAAACATACAGGTGGATTTTGGCCAATGCTTTTTTTGGGGGGAACAGCTTCATGAATACTCCACCCAGAACAGTTAAAGTGTCCAGTCTGGCAGGGGGTGGCTTTGGGAGTTGTCTAACTAACTTTCCCCAATTCTGGGATTCAGCAAGGCAGGTGTACCAAGAAATTCATGTATGTGCTGGCATTAGCAAGCCCTGTTCCTATATGAAAACTGAATCAGAGCTAGGACAAACACCTACTAAATGTTCAGGGGAAATATACACACAGGTCAAAATACAAAACAGAGAGAAAGATGAGCTCAATGCAAGGTACTCAAACTCTTCTCCACACACATCCTTTCAAAAACATTACAAGATAAGTCAGACTGAGAACCAGTGACTGGTCCTAAATTCCTCTATGAGGGCTAGAACCTCAGTCTCTCAAGTCCCCATTCATCATTTTAGTCATGATGTCACTGCTGACTCATACAAACACATACAAAGCAAAATATCACAGAACCATGTGTTGGTCAGACAACGTGCATTATTGCCTTCTAATTCCAGCAGCAAACTATACTGAATCTGGGGAATGCTTATTCTGTTCCACCACGAGAGCTTTGCAGAAAACTCTCCTTGATGTTTTACTATTCAATGGGAATGCCTGAGTGACAGAAGAGTATTTCCATTCTTTATTTGTTTCAGAATTCCCTAAAGCTAAAAATCTGTATAAAACGTAAACCCTAACTTCACAAAATTGTACAATCAAGCCACAATCAATCTGCTACATCTGCAAGTTTTATGCAGGCATTTTATTTAATTACAGTCATGCTGAATAAAGTGCTTTCTGGCCTTTCATGTATTAGCACCTCCAAGTCTAACATCACACATTCTTGTCTGGATCTTGGAGCTTCAGCCCAACCATGGTAACACAAACACACGACCTTGCATTCCATTGCAAGAATGAAAATAAAGTTTCCTTCCAGTGCTTGTTGGCTGCTCACAGTGCTTGAGTATAGTTGAAGATACAGACAATTGTTAACCTCACCTAATTATACATGCACAGGAAACAGAAATCTTCATTTGTATACAGAAACCATGAAGCTTCTACAAATGTGACAAGAGAAGCAAATTTTTTTATCTTTTTCACAGTCTGCGTCTTAGTTTTTATCATGGGCATATTCTTTGGCTAATATTAGAATCATCTGAATACTAACATTATCAGATGTTTGTTATTCAAAAAAAGCATAATACAATTATCACAAGCTCACTACTAAGCTCAATTAAGATTGGTACAACTTAAATTGCAAACTAATCAAAATGATCAAGTTCAGTGGGAATTATTTTCAACTCAGGCATGCATCTGAGTGAACATACATAATGCCTGGCTATTCAAAATATTGCATATTTTTTCATTTTCTTTAGGTTGGACCCTGAACTAATCATGCCTAAGAATACATGCAATGGGGATATGTCCGCCAAAAGTAATGCAAATACAGTACCATTCATTTCAATGGGAGCATTCCAAGCATGACTTAAATGTGGCTCCAACCTACAGAAATAAGTTGTACCTTAAATATTGCTAGACTATGTGCAGTGTCTAATAAATACAACCTATACTGGTAGGTTTCAAATAAAAATTGAATATCACACATATACAGGATCTTTCTACTCTTGCTCATTCCTGTTAGAAGAACCTATGCATAATAATGATGGAGTTTCCCCCATAACTGGCAGATATAAAAGTAACAAAAAATATTCCAAGAAGAAACAAATATTTGCAGTTTTCATCTGTCAGTATAACCAACAGCACTGCAGGACACGTCTTTCCCAAACTGGAACAAACAACAAGTAAAAGGGATGGTGGACGTAGGTGAAGTCAATGCATCTCTGTTTGGTCTTCCCAAAAGGACAGGAAACCTGTACGTCCTAAGAAATTAATAGGCAGCAGAAAGACAGACAACAGGAATAAAACCTGTTTGGGCAAGTAGAACAGATTGTGGAACAAATAGAAAGTATCAGAAGTGGAATGGCCAAAGTGGAGATTAAATCTGAACACACATGCATGCATACATACATACAGAGAGAGAGGTTTAAAAAATAAAAAATTTAAGAACCATCATATCTGCAATGATGCTGCAGATTCATTCTTAACGTAAATCCTAACAGCTTTGCAAATGTAAAGATTTCTCTCTTTTTTGTTACATGCAATCCTTAATAAATT